GGTGGGATCTTCAGGTCGGAGGGCTCCACGTGCCAGATGTCCCGGGCGTATTCCTTGATGGTGCGGTCGCTGGAGAACTTGCCGGCCGCTGCGATGTTCCTGATGACCATCTTGGTCCACGCCTTGGAGTTCTGCAAGGAGAGCGGTGGGACGGTGTGGCTGGGTTGGCACCCATGGGTGCCACGTTGACCCCGAGACCGGCTTTCAACCAGGGATCCCCTGTGGCAGCGCAGCCAGGAGCATCCTCGCCAGGAAGCCGTCTGCATGCACAGCTCCACCAGACCCCTTCTCTGGGATGGGATGTGCCCCCATCGCAGCCCCCCGCCCCCAGATTCCCAGCCTGGCACTCACCAGATACAGCTCGCTGACCTTCTCCTGGCACTTCACGTAGGCCTCGTAGTCTGCAAAAACCTTAAACCTGCAGCGGCGAGGAAAGGGGGAATCAGCACCAGCACAACGCGGTGGGGTTGGGGGGCTGCAGCGCATGGCGCTCAGGCGGCCAGATCTGGGGCTTCCTCCCAGATAAATGCTCCAGACAAAGCCATCCTCCCTGAGCCCTGTGTGTGCAGAGCCCTGCAAGCCTGCAGATGCTGCGGCACACCCTGCCTCAGCTCACTGGGAAAACATTTCTCCGGCACAAATGCCCATGGCCCTTGGCCGCTTAGCGCTCCGGCCAGGAAAGCCCTCGAGATACCTAAAAGCAGCTGGCATGCGAGGGCTGCGCACCCAAACGCGTCTTGGCATTAATGCACTCCAGGCTTTGATGCGGCAAGCGCGAAGTGCCGTACACGGAGAGCCTCTGGTACCCGTGGAGAATCAATTCCTTGTCCACGTGCGCAACATCGGGGCCAGAACATGGGACCGTATCAGCCGGAGGGGTGGCAGGGGGCTGCCCTGCACGGACACCAGGAGTTGGGTGGAGAGACCCAGCTCAGGGGTTGGAGGGATGGATGGATGGATGGATGGATGGATGGATGGATGGATGGCTGGATGGATGGATGGCAGGCATCCTAAGGTCTCACCGGTCGTGGTGGAAGAGCATGTTGACCACGTCTTTGAAGAGGTCAGGCTCCTGCGGGGAGAAGAAGCCACCCTTGATCTGGTCGATGGCCTGCCTCAACTCGGGGAGCCGCTCGTAGTACCTGTGGGCTTTGTACCTGGCAGGGGAGGGTTGACATGAGATGGTGTTGCTCCGGCTGCCCCTGGTAGGCCGATGCCGCGTCCCCATCCCTCACCCTTCCCTGTCCAGCTCCGTGACGTCCTCCACCCTCATGCCGAAGATGAAGAGGTTCTCCTCTCCAGCCTCCTCGGCCATTTCCACGTTGGCTCCATCCATGGTGCCGATGGTCAGAGCCCCGTTCAGCATGAACTTCATGTTCCCCGTACCTGACGCCTCAGTGCCCGCCGTGGAGATCTGCTCCGACAGGTCGGTAGCAGGGATCACTGCCAACAAAACACATGGACACAAGGGTCTCAGGGCAATCAGCTCTGGGTTTGTATCATGCTGAAGGACGTGGCTTGCAGTGATGGAGCTGTGGGCTGGTGGACAGCCCAGGGGTGGACAACCCCTCCCCACAGCGTGCCCCACACAGGCTACCTTTCTCTGCCAGCGAGACCCTGTAGTTCTCCAGGAAGATGACCTTCAGCTTGCTCCCTACAACGGGGTCGTTGTTCACCACTTGAGCCACAGCGTTAATGAGCTTAATGATCATTTTAGCCATGTGATATCCCGGGGCAGCCTAGGAGAAAAGCCACAGGTGAGCCCAGCTCCCAGGTGCCCAGGGTGCTGCCATCACCTCATCCACCCCATGTGTTGCATCACGGAGTTTTCAGGGGTTTGCATGACCACGGGCAGCACATGGTTGTGCAAGCGCGCCGGAAACTTGGTGCCTTGCTTGGGTCAAAGCCAACAAGTGCTGTTCAAAAGATCACAGAATCATGGAACGGTTTGGGTTGGAAGAGACCTTAAAGATCATCCAGTTCCAACCCCCCTGCCATGGCCAGGGACACCCTCCACTAGACCAAGTTGCTCCAAGCCTCATTCAGCCTGGCCTTGGACACTTCCAGGGATGGGGCATCCACAGCTTCTCTGGGCAACCTGTCCCAGTGCCTCCCTACCCTCTCCAGGAAGAATCTCTTCCTGATGTCCAATCTCAATCTCCCTCTTTCAGTTTAAACCCGTTACCCCTTGTCCTGTCACTCCCTGCCCTTGTAAAAGTCCCCCCCAGCTTCCTTGTAGTCCCTCCAGGCACTGGAAGGGGCTCTAAGGTCCTCAGGGCTCCTGTCCATTCCAGCACTTCCTGGAAACCTTCATGGACATGGCCCCAGGAGACACCTGCACCCAAATCCCCTGGGGCATGATTTCCTCCAGAACACCTACAACTCCTGACCCAACTGACCTTGCCCCCGATGATCACCGTCCTCGGCACAAACAGCTTCGCCGGCTCCCTCCTGATGCCTGCAGAAGACACCGGCGTGGCGTCACCCTCCGTTTCAGCGGCAGCCCCGGGGGTAGGGCTGCTTGTGCACCCCCCCTTCCCCCCCCGGGGGCAGCCCATCCCCTTGGGGGCCCGCGGCGGCTTACGGTTGTACATGGTGACGATTTGCAGGCATTTCATCAGCTGCCGCTTGTACTCGTGGATCCTCTTCACGTGCACATCGAACATGGAGGACGGGTTGATCTTCACCTTGTACTCCTTCTCCAGGTACTGTGCGAACTTCACCTTGTTCTCCTGGGGGAGGGCAGCGAGGGCGTCAGCCCCCATCCCCGCGCTCCCCTTGCCGGTGTGCCCCCCTTGCTCGCAGCCCCTCACCTGCTTCACTTTGGCGACTTCCCGGATGAAGAGGTCGTCATCCACGAACTCGTGCAGCTTCGTCAGCTGGCTCAGGTCCCGCACGTAGTCCTCCCCTATTTTCTGCAACAGGAGCACAAGCCGGAGCTGGTCGTGGAATGGGGACGTCCACCGGGCACGCTGCTCCCGCCCGGCAAGGCCAGCGGCGCTTGGGAAGCGGAAGCAGAGCGCTCGGGCGAGGCACGAACCCGGCTTGAGCATTTCATAGATGTCAATGGCCGAGGTTGGAGCCACGTCCCGGGGTTGGGAAGGGTTGGGGGGCCAACGCGTTACCCCCCCACCATGCCGTTACCTCTGCGATGAGCTCCGCCAGCCCCGGGTTGCAGAGCAGGAGCCAGCGCCGCGGGGTGATGCCGTTGGTCTTGTTCTGAAACTTCTCCGGCTCCAGCTCCGCGAAATCCTCGAAGCTGTGAGGATGAGGAGGGGCTGGTTTCAGGCTCGCCCACCCGGCACCACCACCATTCCCAAGCCGAGGATGAGCCGGGACCGCGCTTACACTTGAGTCTTGACTATTTGGGAGTGGATCTTGGCCACGCCGTTGACAGCGTGGGAGCCGACGATGCAGAGATGCGCCATGTTGATCCTCTTCGTGCCTCCCTCCTCTATCAGGGACATCCTCCGCAGCCGGTCCACGTCGTTAGGGAAGAGGGATGCGATGTGCTGCCGGTGGAGGATGGAGAGGTGGTGAGTGGCGCGTAGGGATGTCCCACCCGACGGGTCCCGAGGAGGGGGCTCACGGCAATGACATTGACACCACCCGGAGCAGTGGGTTTTACTCCAGAGTGACAGCACTCCAGAGGGTGCTCTTCCCCAGCGCGGACATCTCCGGACAGAAGGACCCCCCAGGTCCCCACAGAGAGGGGTTTGTGGGCACACACTTGGCCAGTGGGGCCGTTTCAGCTAAGGACCAGACCAGGAGGCCAAACGACCATTTCCTTTGTACCCCCGACCTCATCCTTTTCCAGGATGAATGTAGCACTTAGGGAGCAAAGAAATGCCAACAGGTACGTCCCTGGAGTTGTGGGTGAAGCCTTTAAACAACCACCAACTGCAGGATGGCAATGCAGTGGCTGGAAGGGCTTTCCTACAACCCAACCTCCCGAAAGAGCAGTCGGAACCCCCCATCCACACCCCCATCATGGGTTTGCGCATCCCCCTGATCCCGGGAGCACCACGCGTGCCATCCCCAGCCTCGGAGAGGGCTCCAGCGCCGCGTCGGCACTTACATCCAGGTGCCTCTGGTTGATCTCATAGATGATCTGCAGGTGCCTGGGGAGCAGCTTCTCCACCAGGTCCACGGGCCAGCGCTCCAGGGCCTCGGGGAGCACCGTGTGGTTGGTGTAGGCGAAGGTGCGCTTGGTGATGTCCCAGGCCTGCCGGGGGGAGAGGCTGAGCGGCGAGGCTGGAGGCAGCCCCGGGTGGGTGCCAGCACCTACGCGCG